CATTCTCTCTCTCAGTGAGTCTAAAGGGTTGTGGGTTTTTTTAGGGCTTTTTTTTTGGTCTTTTTTTTTTTTCACTTTTCTTTTTTGGTACCAGGAATTGAACCCAGGGCCTTGTGCTTGCCAGGCAGCCACTGCGTCACTGAGCTACATACCTGGCCCAAAGGTTTTGAGAATGCTTCTTTCTTAAGAAGACCCCGTTTTTTTTTTTTTGGTTCCGGGGATCGAACTCGGGTCCTTGTGCTTGCAAGGCAGGTGGTGGAACCACTGAGCTAAATCCCTGGCCTAAGCAAACATTTTTAATCACATTAAGTGGTTACTTTTTTGGAAAATAATAAGATAATATTGTAAAAATGTTTATGTTAGCAAGACTTGTTTTTTGTTGTTTTTTTAAAGCTGGAGTTGTTTAAAAAATTGTCATAGATGTGTTTTACGGAATTAATGATACTAAAAGTATATATTTCAGTTAGAAAAGGATGTAGAAATCACCTCAGAAAGTAAATATATTCTGTGGTTTGTTAAAAGTTTCTGTGTATTGCTGAGACCTAATATTAATGTGATATTTTATACCTATAAACATAACAATATTTGTAAACTATTTTATTTTGTGTAATCCAGAAGTATAGTTTCAGAGACAGCTTACTCTATTTAGGGACGGTTTTATCCCAGTTTCTAGAATTTGTACTTGTTGAGTGTACTTATAGAAGAAGAAACAAACTAATATAGAGCTAAGGTGACAAGCCCAGTGTATTAGTCAGCTTTCCCATCACTCAGACAAAATACCTGACATCTGCAACTTAAAGGAGAGAGAAGTTTATATTGGCTCATATTTCAGAGAATTCATCCCATAGCTGGTTGGCTTCAAGGCAGAGGAAGCATGGCAGGAGTGTATGGTGGAGGAAATTGAGAACAAGAGTACACCCTTTCAGGTCATGCCCCCCAGTGACCTACCGGCAACCTTCTAACATGTGAGACTTCTGGGGAACATTATATAGATCTAAACCATAATACCATGCTTCTAGGATTATATTTAAAAATTTTATGAGATGGCAATTTTACCTTTTTGGCAGTGCTGAGGATTAAACATAGGGCCTTGCACACATTGAACAAGCACTCTACCAACTGAACTACACATCCAGCTTGAATAATACTTTAATTAAATTTGTTTTTTCTTTTGGTACAGGGCATCGAACTCAGGACCTTGTGCTTGCGAGGCAGGCACAGTGCCACTGAGCTAAATCTCTGGACCTAATTAAATTTTCTTTAACACTAAGTTGTTTAATACTATAATTTCTAGAATTCTTTGACCTCTATAGAGGCTTTGCTTGTATGGAAGGACCTAGCATTCTGGGATTCCCTGTTCTCTGCTCAATATATAGATATACAAGGCTAATATCCTTGATTTATAATCTGTGCTCTGAATCTTGATCTGTTCATCTTAGACTTATGACTTGGACCTTTTGAGGATTCCTTTCTCTGTAGAGCAAAAATAACCTGGAGATTCAAGAGTGATCTTTACAAATGAATCACTTGAATTTGTATCCAATTTTTATATGTAAATATACTTAAAGGGAAAAATCCATTAGCTTGCATCAGAGTCATAAAGGAAGAACCACTGTCTTTGAGCCTAAGCATCCACCTTACTCCATTTCCCATGTACTGGTTCCCTTGGTCCTTCACAGTCATGAAACAAGTGTTTCATGACTTTCTCTGTAGCCCAGTAAGAGTTACCTTCACAATTTTTTTTTTTTTTTGGTACGGGGGATCAAACTCAGGGCCTTGCATTTGCACGGCAGGCACCAGAACCACTGAGCTAATTACCCTGCTCTACCTTCACAGTTTTACTTATATACCCTTCCTTTCTCCATTAGAAGGCTTCACCTATCTAGAATTGAGTAACTGGATAGGCATGCATTTCAAGCCCAGATGCAAAATGCTATCCTGAAAACCTGAGCCCTGCTTTTGAACGTCAGAGGGGATCAGTTACAGAATCTGATTCAAATTAGCCTAGGTCAGGCTACTGTGATGCTAGCTAGCTTTTCTCACCATCTCTCTATCTTCTCTGCACCCAATAGTAAGAACTTTAACTGTTTGAACAGGTAACTTCACCTAAATAATAAAAATTAGGGAAAGAAAGGCAGAAAAATGAAATAGGAAAACACCTAATCTTGCTAGGAAAAAAGTATACAAAGTCATAAAGACATTTTAATGAATGACTGAGTTAATGATAGAAAAGCTAAAGTGAATAATATTATGCCTTTGATGTTTTAGGCTGGCCCAGATGATATCAGGAACTTTGACACAGTATTTACAGAGGAAACAGTTCCATATTCTGTGTGTGTGTCTTCTGACTACTCTATCGTGAATGCCAGTGTACTGGAGGCAGATGATGCGTTTGTTGGTTTCTCTTACGCACCTCCTTCAGAAGACTTATTTTTATGAACAGTTTGCAATTCAGAAACCATCAAGCAAATACAAGCCTGCAGATGGGACTGAAACTCCTATTTGTGTGAATATATTCAAATATGTATAACAGTGCCTCATTTTTATATGTAATGTTCAAAACTATGAAAAATATTTTCTGTATGCAAGGAAATAGTGCTTTTCAGAGAGCTATGTTTTGAATTAAAGTTTGTATTCTTATTTACTAAACTTATTTTTTAATAAAATTTAAAAGCTGTTGCTCTTAGCATAAACCTATTTTTAAAGAAAACTTTTCTGCTATTGACTGTTTTCCTCCTAAGTTTACACTAACATGTCCAAGATAGACTTTTTAACAGTATGTTTCAGTTCATTTAGCATATATTAATACCTTTGTAATTCTACTATGACTTTTGTTATTGTATCAGAGCTATGCAATTGGTACATAGTTGTTTAAGAAGAAACCATATCTTTCTATGATAAATCAGTATTTTAAATAAAAGGTCTTGGTGTAGGATTAAAATATAAAAAGCATATTAGCACATTGACAGCTAGTTAACACTGAATAACCATTCATTTTTCAGATAAGTAACAAAAGGAAATCATTTGCTTCTGAAATACCAGTTCAAATTGTGATTTCTTTTTCTGTCTGGAGGAAAAGAAAAAAGTTAATGGTTAGAAATTTAAGACTTCCCAAAAATCTGAAGGGTAATAAAGTACTGCTGGAATTTTTTTTTTTTTTTAGGTGGGGCCAAAAATGAGTGTCTCTGTGTTATATATTTATATTGCAAATATATTCTATTTATGTTCCTTTTGGTGTTTTGAATGTTTGATATACTGTTAGGTCTAAATCTTGGTGTTTGCTTATGCAAATAGCTTTTTCAAAACTATCTAATTGGTTAAGGAAAAAAAGGTAGATCTTTCTAGAATACTTACCTAATTGAAAATTTAAAAGCAAAATAACAAATCTGGGTCAGTGCAGAACAGTTCTACTATAACAAGAGTTAAAAATAATTTATGCAGTTTCATATTCAGTATCTTTTTTTTTCATTATTGGTGTCTCTGGGGATCAAACCCAGAGCCTTGCACATATGAAGGATGCATGCATTCTACCACTAAATTATAGCCCTAGTTCATCAATATTTTTGTGTCTTAGAAAAAGTACATAAAACTAATCTTAGAAATCATAACATACCAATTAACTTGCACCTTTTCAAGTCATGTAGGAAATAGTATAAAGGTTTGGTGAGTCAGTTTAGATGCTCTAAGAACAAACTTCCCTTCCATGTATTCACTTGAAAGAAATCACAAAAGCATTTCTCACCCATACCCTTTGGCTTAAAAATATTCCTCAGAATTGGGAAGGGAGGATACTTTTGTTCAATTAATACTTATATCTAATACACTGAATATTCCTTTAGAGGTAGAACTTTAATATCTACACTGTAAATTTTGGTTTGTTTGGCACTACTGTAAGTTCTGCTCTTAACATTCTTTGTTCAATATAAACCAAGATAAAAACTGTAGTTTCTTGTATGATTTTTTTTTACTCAGATACTCCTTAAACTACCAAAAATTAAAGTGCAATAATCTATATTTCTAAGGACAAATTTAAAATAGAATTTTGATGTTTCTTGGATTATCAGAAATACAGATCTATATAGTATAATAAAATTAGCAAATGAATGATCATCAAATGCCTGTCATTATTTGAAATTAAAATTGGTAGTGGTTACAGTAGTCATTACAAAATGAATTACATGTTTAAGGGAAAGAAGCATAAAATTTTAACAAACTATTTGGACAAATTACTAGATTATCATAGGCTAATGTATGTATTATTTTGGGACAAAATTTTTTCAGAGTTTCAAATTTATCTTTTCTCTCATAGCATAAATATTTCAGTAAAGTGCTCCTTGAATAGTTGAACTAATTCATGGTATTTACCGAAATAAAGGTCTAAATGAAGACTTTTAATTGCTCATATCTGCAGTTTGGAGGTTAGCTCTGTTTTTGAAGTAAGATTTCTTGCCATTTCAAAGGAAGTTTTTACCTATACTGAATTTTACATTCATTCCCAATGTGGGTAACAGTCTGATGACCCATTTTTTTCATAGATGGAGCCTTCTTATTTGGGGTTGGAAGAGGCTAATTCTCTGGGTTCTCTTAAAGGCACTAAGCCATTCACCTCCCAAAAGCTCTACCTTGCAATACTATTAAGGATTAGATTGCAATATGAATAGTGTGAAGATGCACATTCAGAGCATAGCAGTATGAAACATACCTTAAATGCACATAAGTGAGTTTCAGGTGACTTGAGTACCTTGAAATGATATGCCAGTTTTTGTGTAAATGAGATTAACAGGGACAGAGAAGAGTATTACATAGCTTTATCAAATCTAAAAGGATTCTTGTATATAAAAATATTGGGGTTCTGTGCCACTTCTTTACTAAAATAATATGAAGAGAAATTGCTTTTAATTTCCCTGATAGCATTCCAGTTGGAGATTATTTCTGTAGCACTTTTGGTGTCTTGTGAATACTATGTAATCCATTTCAGTCCCTTAAACTTCTTCCTCACTAACTAAAAAGACTGCTACACAGAAATATTTCTCAATTTACTACATCTTTGTATTCCCATTTGTACGAAGGTAATGAAATCAAAGAATAATTGTTGAGCTTTCTGAAAATGTATTTTTTAATTTACTCATTGAAACAGAACAATTTTTTTTTTTTGGTACTGGGGATCGAACTTGGGACTTTGTGCTTGCAAGGCAGGCGTTGGAACCACTGAGCTAAATCCCTGGCCCTGAAACAACAATTTAAAGGAGCAGTACACAAAAGATCCAATAGAGAATTGTAAATTGAGAATGATTTATAGCGATGAAATAATTAAAGAATCCTACAAATGTAAATTATTTTTATATATTGGACAGAAAATAATGGGTCACCATTGTTGAATATTAAGGCAATTGATATGTGAATAATAAGGAATAATATAAACATATCACTCTTCAAACCCTTTTACTGAAAAAACCAGATACATCTGATAGTTTGCAAAAATCCTGCATTCAACTGCAACTTGTAAACGTTCACTGTAAATTCTCTTGCAGGAATGTATCTCAGGTTCCTCTCTATTGGATTCTTTTTTTTTTTTTTCCAGTTCTTTCTACATAGTAATGTAGCTTTGTTGTGCTGAATTTTTCTCTAATGACTCAATGATAGTAGATTATGTAAAAAATTAACAGTTTAAGAGCTGGGGTTGTACCTTAGTGCTAGAGCTCTTGCCTAGCATGTGTGAGGCCCTGAATTCATTCATTAGCACTTAAAATCAATGATACATTGCAGTTGAACACTAACAGTTAGCTACGCCCCCTCCCCCATACTGAGGATGGAACCCAGGGCCTCACTAAGTATGCTAGACAAGCTCTCTTCCGAGGGTGCATGGAGGGCCCTGACCCAGCAGCCCCTGCGCTCTAACGGTCGAGAGTGCGCGCATGCGCACTGCTGAAGGTCTCACTACGCCCCTCGGCCTTCAGCCGTCGATTCTCGAGGCGACGCGAGACCTGCCTGGCCTGGTGGGTGCCGGGCAGTAGAAAGGTTAGCCCTGGTAGTGGGAGATGTCCCGGAGCCTCTTGTGTGGCGCCGCGTTCGCATTTGCTGTTACCTGCTTCGGTTGTGAGCTGTTTTCCTGCTATCGTCTCAGCAATTTATCCCTGGTGCTGACCAACAAGGCGCACCAATCCGCGCCCCTTTAAGTGAATCTTGGCGCTTTAGACCTGGGAGGACTTAAAGAATTACTGTAGAATTGTATACCTGCTCGCTTATTTAGTACTTTTCCATAGGCTTCTGTGTGTATCTTGCATTCCCTCCCCAGGACTTCCGGTTGCATGGGGATACCCAGACTTCACGCTCCAATTCTTTTGTTGCTACTGAACTCCAGCCCCTGGCTGGTGTCACCCTCGTGCTTGTATCAGTGGGGAGCGTGGGGACCTTTCAGAAGCCGATTGGAGTCAGGATATGGCAAATGAACGTGACCTTATCGTATCCCTGCACTTACGGACTCATATTTCCATTGCAGCTGCTGCAGCAGCATCTACTCACTTAAAAAAACAAACCTTTACCACCCGGACCTGGTGGCACATGCCTGTAATCCTAGCATTTTGGGAGGCTGAGGCAGGAGGGCCATAAACTCAAGCCCACCCTAGCAATTTAGGGTCTTAGCAAGAACCTACTCAAAATTTAAAGAGGAGGTGGGGCTGGTGATGTAGCTCAATTTGAAAGTTCAATCACTAATACAAACAAAACAAAACATCCTTTTGAACTGCCTTGCCTACATTGTACAAATTAATCACCAAGCCCAATGTGGAATCTTTAAAATTCTAGAATTTCTCTATTCCAGTTTGTCCCAAATGCTCTAGATCCATCTCTCAGGAATGTTGCAATAGTTTGAACCTATTTTCCACACTGGTTGCAGGTGCTCATTTGCAAACTAAAAATCTGATCGAAATTCTCCTCTGTTTAAAACAAAACAAAACATCAACAAACTTTGTAGGCTTCTTTTCGTGTATATAGTCATTATACACTTCAAAAACTTTTAATAACTGTCCTCACCAGACCATTTCATTATTAATCGCTTCTATTCAACTTCAGAAAGCTAATGTTCTAGTGACACAGATGTGATGTCCCAAATACAACATGTATTTAAAGATTAATTGTACTTACAGCCACAGAGGAATAGACTCTGAATTTTCAGCCCTATTAATAGTAAAAAAGGTAGGAGGGATGTAGATTCAGTAGTGGAAGACTCACAGTGGAGGCTAGTGGTATTTACCCCTTTCTCTGGAAAACTCCCTTCTTTCTCCTTTAATTAGAGAGATACTCATCTACCAAATGTCACCTTTAAAATAGAATTCATAGCTTCTCAATGGTCCCACTGTCTTCAATCAAAATATCCTACAACAATGGAAAATATGATCTATACACAAAGATGACCCCGAATTTTATGAAATATTTTACTTATGTGGTTGCTTCCACATGCCCTAGAATATTCCTATTTGTTATAGCACTTAAGTAATCACGTAACTCTTTCCATGTAATATCTTCCCTCAATGTCTGTACGCTGTCTGAAGGATGGGAACAGCATTTTACTTATCTCTGTATCCCTAGTGCCTAGGGTAGTTTGGTTATGCAACAAATAGTAGGTGCCAAATAAATAATTGATTAATGATAACTATATTAGTCATTTCTGACTTCTCTAAATTGGCAACTTCTTGAAGGCAAGATCCAATCTTAAATCATCTTTTCCTAATACATATTATAATTACTATATGGCATATACTGTTTGTTTCCAATTGGTGTTTTGTTCTGTCTTTAAATTTTTCTTATTCCACGCTGCTTATAACTATGGCTTAATATTGGTCACTGACACAAGATATAAAACTGAAAAAGGCCTTAATATGTAATACAACGCCTTCATTTCTTACAAATATATACTGAGCCAAGAGAGATCCAGTCATTTTCTCATAACAATTAATGCTGGGTGGAATACCAATTTCTCAAATTTCCCAAGTTAGTATCCATTCTCCAATATCTTGTTACTTAGATTGAATTTATGAAGCAACTTCTACTGCTTTCATTTTTTAAACATTGCCAAAGGGAACCACATCATCTAATATATTTCAATAAACATTTTGGGGAGTACAGTACTTCCTTAATAAAAACATTTGAGGTTCTTGTGTTTGCTCTCTTGAACCTAGGGACTTCTGCATGCTAGCCAAGCACTCTAGCATTGAGCTAGATCCCCAGCCCCTTTTCTTTCATTTGGGGATTTTTGTTGTTTTTTTGTTTATTTGTTGTTGTTTTTTGTACCAGGATTGTGCTTGCAAGGCAGGCATCAGCACCGTTGAGCTAAATCCCTGGCCCCCTTTTCTTTCATTTTGTAAAGATGGTCTCACTGTCCAGGTTAGCTTCAAACTTGGAATCCTCCTGCCTCTGCTCTCTGGGTAGATGGGATTATTAGTACACGTTTACTGCTACTGCCCAGGTGAGTCTCCTGTTCTTAAGTTTGTGATGTTGCAGAATATCTGCTAAATGTTGATGAAAATGTTATTTGGGGGCTGGGAGTGTGTAGCTCAGTGGTAGAGCACATGCTTAGCATGTGTGAGGCCCTGGGTTCAATCCCCAGCAACCTCCCCAAAAATATTATTATTATTATTTTTAATATCTGAAAATTTTAATCCTTTCTTTACAGGTTACTAGATCACTTTTGATTAAGAAAAGTGTAAAAAGTTAGTAATTGCCACAAGTGAACGCCAAGTGGTGGCATGTGTCAATTTTCCACAGAGTCATGCTTTGCGGGGTGTCTGAATGCACTGCTTGGGGTCTCTGCTCACACTTCCTGGAATCATTTGTGGCAGATTTTAGTCCACAGGTCGCTTTTCCCCATATTTCTTTGTAAACTCTTCAGCATTCTTACAGAATTTTTTACAGTCCTTAGAGTATTCTTCAGCTAGGTCAGCCTGGAGCAGGTGCTCGGGCTGGGTGTCGTTTACCAGTGCTATGAGGGACTGGATTACTTGGTCGGTCTTGGTCGCTGGCTTCCAGTTCTCAGCACTAATTACTGGCAGGCAAACTTGTCCTTTTTCATCAATGTTTGGGTGATAGATCTTTGTTTTAAATGTGATCTTCGGTGGTTTGAATGGGTACTCTGCTGGAAAGTTGATTTCAATTCTAAAGGCCCCCTTATCATATGGAGGGTTGTCAGGAACACTAAGCCCTTGCCAAGTCAATAAATTAGCTTCATCAACCTGCAAGTTACAGAAGTTTTTCATTCCACATTTGCAAATCTCTTCAAGCTCCTTCATCAGCCTCCTGCTGGCCGCCATCTTGGATCTGGTGCTGCTGCTTTCCCAGAATGCATCGCGGCCGGCCGGCCAGCTGAAGCCCCCGCACTTCCTGGAGTGGGGGAGGGGCGGGGCGGGCCTCAAAAAAAATTATTTAGCAAAAGAAAGCAACTCTCAATTTTAAGTTTACAAGTTTGGAAAGTTTTATTAGCGTTCTTCAAAAGTAAAATTTATTTTGTTTTATTTTTAGAGTGTCTCATCCTTTCTGTGAGTTAATACCTGTAATCTTCAGAAATTTCAATTTAATCAATTAGTAATAAAGAAGAATCATTAACTAGGAGAAAATGTCAAATCTGAAAATGAAAGAGGCAGCCCTCATCTATCTTGACAGAAGTAGAGGTCTCCAAAAGTTTATAGATGATTGCAAATACTACAATGGTATGTTCAGCAAAGATGGTTTTAGAAACTTTCCCCCAAAATTCTACATACTATGATCTGACTTTTACATTTGTGTATTTTCACAGATTCAAAACAAAGTTATGCTGTGTATCGATTCAATATTTTAATAAATCCCTCTGATGTTCTTGAATTAGATGCTGAACTTGGAAATCACATTTTACACCATCCTTTAAAAGCTGCCCAAGTTTTTCAATCAGTAAGTTAAGGAAAAAAATAATTTTCCACCACATAGAATTCTTGGTAACTGTTTGTTTGAAATCACAGGTCTGTTTCATTGCTGTGAAGACTCTCTCATTAATAGCACAATTGCAGACTGAAACTCAAGTAAGTTTTAATTAACTTTAATAAAACTCAGGTACAAACTTTCAAAATGACTTGTAAGTTAGTATTTTAATATTCATAGATGTTTTGTTAAAAAAATCAGACTTTTCAATGTTTAATGGAGTATCTTACATGTTCATATTTATTTTCTGTGCTATCACTTATAAGATTAACTTTTTTTAGCCAGGTGTGGTTGTGCATACCAGTAATCCCAGCACTCTGGAGGATGAGGCAAGAAGATCTCCAGTTGAAAGGCAACCCGGGCTACATAGCAAATTCAAGTCTAGCCTCGGCTACATTGTAAAATCCTGACTAAAAAAAAAAAAAAAAGATTACACACTTTTATAATAAGACATTTCAAACATACCCGAAAGAGTAGTACAGTGAACTGCTATAATATTTCACTCAGTGTTACAATACTTTGCCATATCTTCATTACCTTTTTTTTGGTGCTGGGGATCAAATTCAGGACCTTGTACTTTTGAGGCACCACTGAGTTAAATCCCGAGTTCTCTTCATTACCTATTTTTATCTGAAATATTTTAAAGCAAACCCTAGATACTGTATTATTTTACCCCTGCACACACAAATATCTACTTCTAAAAATTATAGGCTTTTTTATATAACCACAGTGTCATCATCACCCCTTACAAAAGTAACACTAATTTGTTGATATTTAACATCTAATCCATAATTAAATTTGCTTAATTGTCTCGAGAATGTCTTTCAACTGGCTTAAGTCAGTGTCTAAACAAGGTCCATACATTATAATTGGTTCTTTTATCTGGATAAGTGTCTTTTAAACTAGAACTCTTCCTGCTCCCTCTCTTTTATACATTGACTTTTTGAAGAAACTAATTGTCCTATAAAATGTACATAATCTGGATTTGTCTGATTGCTTCTTTGTGGTACTCTTTAATTTATTCCTTTATATGCCTTGTATCTAAATAGAAGTTGCCTCTAAAGACTTAGATTCAGATTTGCTTCATTTTTAAAAGAATATATCTACGTGTAGTGTCATGTATTTTATGATTGCACTATAGCAGGATGATATACTGTTTTCCCACTTTTAGCAATTTCACAGTTGATCAGTGGGTTCAAGAGAGGTAATTCCGATCCCTCTTTATGCAGCATCCCAACAATTTCCACCCAATGGTTTTAGAATGCCTAGAATCTATCATTTCATTAGGAGTCACAAAATTGCAATTTTCCTAATAATAGTATTTTTTTCTGAATTTATTGGCTGAAATTATTCTATAAAAGAAATTTTCTCTATCAACTATTTGATTACTCTAAAATACAATTTTCCCAGGAATATCAGGGTAAATGATTATTTTTCTGTATAGTTTCAGTGAGTAGTGAGTTGAAATCTAGCAACTTCCAACAATAATGACTTTTAAATTTTTACTTGTTTTAAAATGCAAGGAACTCATAAGCTTTTTAATATAGCTGAGAGTTGTAATAATCTGTCATTCATTTTTGATGCTTATGTCTTTTGTTTTGGGGAGTCTCTTCAAGTTCACTACTACATCCTTTTGACACATACCATTAGTTTGTTTCTTTGTTTTTGTGGTACTGGGAATTGAACCCAGGACTCTCACATTGAGCTACATCCCCAGCACCCACCCCCCCTTTAATTTTGAGACAAGGTCTTTCCAAGTCACTAAATTGGTCCAGAATGGACTTGAACTTGCAGTCCTCATTCCTCAGCCTCCTAGAATCCTGGGATTAGGCCTGTGCCACCACACCCAGCTAATTTCTAGCACAAGATGCACTGATTCTATATTCTAGTATATTTTCTGTTCCAGACTTGGAATAAGCCATTTCCTTCAAGGAACCCTGGCTCTCTTTAGCATGAAATGACATTTAAAGATCACAATTTGGACACTAAATGTGTTCTTTGCTATTGAGTTGAAATTGTTTTAAAATTATTTTTAGTGGTTATAGCCACAAAATGTGTATTTCTAAGGAAAAATAATGAGTTCTTCATGATATTTCCAATTAAAATGTTAGTTTACAAGATTTTTATTTTGTTAATTTTAAATCTCTTTTCTCTCCTGCTTAAAATTTAGTTCCCAACACTAACCAATTGCTTACTTGATTTACAGTACAGTATACTTATGTCATACTTCAAGTCCAGTTGTATCTAGACTTTTCATTAATACTATTATTTTTATGTTCTTATCAGATTAATATAGTGCTGAAATTAACACATTTACCTCCTCTGCCAAGTTATATTCTTGATCTCTGTGAGTTTCCACTTGATTATACATCTCAGAGATTTTATATGATGCAAGGAATTGTGATTGCAATGACAACTATAACCAAGTATACACAAGGTGCAAGATTCCTTTGTTCAGAGGAAGCATGCCCCCTTTCAAAAGGTAAATATTAAGGTGTAAAATAAAAAAATCAAGCAATTTGTCTAATTCCAAATCATGTTTACAGTTTAGTTACTAATCTCTCATAATATAATGTAGAATGGAAGAATAAATTTCATATCTTCTAGTGTTTATAAGTTTACTTTGCATAATCTTGAAATGCATTCTTTCTCCACTTTGTACCCACTCAGCAATTTAATCAATGCTCTTATATTGCAGAAGTTCCACTTCTTTCGATACATTGTTTCATGACAGTTTGCTCATGGAGTTCCCTCTCCATGTAATATTCTCTCCTCATACTTTGGCTTAACCAGTTCAGTCTTTCTACAGGATATCTTTTCCATTTATCACCCTCTTATGGAAAAGCTTCATGTAGTCATAGGTGGAGTTTTTTGGCATTAGTTGTTCTAGATTGTGTGACACTGGGATTGATTTATAGTGCAATGCTAGGATTAAGGGTTCTAGGATTAAGGGTGTGAGTTCTACCTGCTCTTAGAGTAAATAAAATGTAAAGGACAGAAAGAGCTATGGATTTGCCTCTCATCACTCGCTGCTTGTTGCATATTGGTTTGCTTCGGCCTATCATGAACTGCTTCTCTGCGATGCCCCTCTGCCATGCCACCCTTCCTTGGAGCCATCCAACTATAAATTGAAACCTCTACAAACTGTGAGCCAAATCTTTCCTCTCATAACTTTTGGTTTTGAGTATTTTGTCTCAGAAAAGTAACTAAGAAACACCCCATCTCATTGAGTTGGATGCCCCTCTTCTTTCCATACATTCTGCAAATGAACTCCACGTGTGCAGAGAACGTTTCTCATTGACACACATAGAAATTATGTGTTTAATCATCCAGTGTTTAATATACCAGTGCCTTAGCACAGTGCCTGGCAAGAAACAGCCATGCAGTAAGTGTTAGTTGATCTTCTTGGAACCCAAGTGCAAAACTGAATTAATTATACTTTGAATTAGATTCATATTAAATTATTGAAAATAGGTAAATCTGAAAGCAAATTTAGCTTACCAATACTTTCTTTCAGGATTTCAGTATATAAGAGTGCACATGCCTGGTGCTACAGAATCTGCAACAGTAAGAAATGACTTTTTGTGTAATCTATGTTCATCTTCACTTCAAGAAGACAGAAAATTTAGAGTACTTGGCGGTAAAAATCCATTTGTGTCTTCTTATAATTATGATTTTCAAAGTACTATCCAATATTTTAATATGAAAATTAAATTGAATATATATTCTAATAACAAATGTTTTATTCTTTGCCTAAAGATAAACAGATAGTTGAAATAATTACCCCAAAAGCACTTTGTGCTTTTCAAGGATATTCTAAGAACCAGGCCTTTAGGTTTCAGTCTTTTAAAGTTTTCCTAAGAGGTATGTAAATTTGCTTAAATTCAAAAATTGCTAAAAGTATAGAATTGACTTACCTATGCATATATATGAATAATATACTTCTATAGCTTAAAATGACAAGTTATTTTATTTTTGAGGGTTTTTAAATTTTTAATTGGTACATTTTAGGTATACAATATAATGACATTCATCATTGGAGATTTGTACCTTTATATAATATATCTTGATTCTTATTTTTTCCCCATTTCCCTGCCCTCCCCTCAACCCCTCCACCCCTTCATATTTACAAACACTTTGTTTCCATTTTTTCATTTTCTCATATTAATTCCATTCCCCTCTTTCCTTTTCCCTACCTTTTCCACTCCCCCTTCCCCATTGCACCTTTTCTTCCTATTTCACACTATCTCTTATACATTTTGATCCTTATTTACATGTTCAGTTTCTGACACTAGAGAAACTATTCGGTATTTATAAATGTGTGTCCTATTTATTTCACTTAAGAGTTCCACTTCAATGTGCATCCATTTAGCTATAAATGCTTCTAATTTCTCATTCTTTATGGCTGAGTAGTACTTCATTATAAAAAAAAACATATTGTCTTTATCCAGTCTCCAGTTGATGGGCAACTGAGCTGTTTCCGTGTTTTAGCTATTACAAACTGTGCCACTGTGAACTTGGGTGCACATATATCGCTGTGGTATGATTCTTTTAATTCTTTTTGGAAGATACCCAGCAGGGGAATAGCTGGGTCAAATAGAACCTCTAGTCCTAGTTCTTTGAGGTATCTCCATACTGATTTCCACAGTGGTTGCACTAGTCTACACTCCCACTAAGAGTGGAGAAGGTACCTTTTTCCCCTCAGCCCTGGCAGCATTTGTTATTGGTTGATTTCATGGTATCACCCATTCTTTCTGGTGGAACCTTAGCATTGTTTTCATTTGCATCTTTCGAATGACCAGTGATGTTGAACATTTTTTCATATGTTTATTTATAATTTCTACTTCTGTATCTGAGAAATGTCTGTTCATTTCAGATGCCCATTTTTGGATTGGGTCTTTAAATTTGGGAGGTCTGATTTTTTTAAGTTCTTTA